ATTGTGAATATTTCTAAGTGTCTTAAAAAAAACTCCTGACATATTATACCTATTTTGTACTTTACAGTTATTACCATTTATCAAAAGAATCATTTAAAATAAAAATTTTATCTTTAAAACAGTAAAGTCATTTTTCATCATCATTTCCCGATGTTTTCATCCTTCTTCATTCTTCTTCGATGGAATAGCTGCAAAACTTAGTCGTTCTTTTTATCTAAATACTTCAGCGCTTTTTCTAACATATGCATAGCTTTTCGTTGGTTTTTTTCTTCTTTCTTTTTTTGCTTTCTTTTCCTTTTATCTGATTCGTCTTCAGAACTGTCGTCAGATTCATCGCTTTCACTGGAGCTATCCTTCTTCTTATGCTTCTTTTTCTCATCCTTGGGTTTGGTTGTTGTGCTCGATGGTGGCGTTGTGCTCGATGGTGGCGTTGTGCTGGACGTCGCTTTTGTTGACGAAGAACCAGTTGTCGACGGTTCAGTTTTTGAAGACGGAGTTGTGCTACTTGTAGAATTTTGCCGCTGGTCATTGTTCTTTAAAACAAAAAAAAAATAGAACAACAAGTTCAAATTGAAAAAAAAAGAAAAATATCTTAGCTATTTCATTCTTTACACTCACCTTTTTAAATACCTTTGTTAGAATGCAGAAAAAATTTTTTTTTAATTTGTTATGAGTATTGTATCGTGATTTCTTAAAAAAAAAGAAATTTGGTTTTTGTAAGATGAAAAATTTAAAAAAAGTTTACAATTTAATGATGAAACTTTAACACATATACATGAAGTTACGTGAAGGGCTAAAAAATAACGAATACGCTGTTAATCGCAGAAATAATTTATCAAATTTACTTTGTCCATAGCATCTTGCAGACGCTTCAGAAGATCTTGAATTTCGTTTTTGACATTGTCAAGATTTGATTTACCTCCTGAATCAGACTGTTCTTCGGTGGGTGCAGCGTTTATCGCAATTATTACAAGGAACGGTAGGTAATGCATCATACTTGGTTTTTTTTCCCAGTTCGTTTATCTCGTAAACTGAAAAAAAGAAGCAGTGTGTTTTAGTTTCAAGCTAGCTTATCAGCTAGTCGAACAGAAAATGGCTGAATAAGAGGAAGGGAAGCTAGACAGATAGGTTAATGAATGAACAGGATCAAAACACTGCAAAATATCAAATAACATTCCTGAGATTGCACAAGCGTCAAAGTTTTGACGATAACGCAGTTTTTGAGTTTACAGCAGTTCCAAATCTTTTAATTTTTCTCTTTCACTGCTAATTTTATCAAGTATCATTACCAAAAAGCACTTAACTTATAATAAAGAATTTTACTTATTTATTATGTTTTTTATAGTACTTTTGTCAGTACTACTCCCATTGTAACAAAATATCTTTTTTTATACATTTTGTGATACCAATGGTTACGTGCTAGCCTTAAATGCTGTCGTAACGTGTAAGCTGCCAGTGAACCAGGCTACTTAAAGCAGAAAAAAACTTCTGAATTTCAGGTAAATCACATTGTCGTCGAAACGTTAAAATGAGAAATTGAAACGTTAAAGTGCAAAAAAAAAAGCTTTAGCAAAACAATAAGTCGATATTAGGTTGTAATAACTAATATCAGTAGTAGGTGAGTATCAAGACTTAAAGATGTTTCAAATTAAATAAATAAATCTTTTTTTTTTTACAATAAAGTTGATATAAGCTGTAGAAAGCAGTAGGTAGATGATCTTTGCTGGAACTACTTATTTTAGTTTACCCGACAAGTCGCAGACCGATGTACCTTCTGAACTTTACCAGGCACACTTTAGCTTTTGTCATACATAAAAAAACTTTTTCTAAATTTACAGAAATAGATCAAAGTACTTTTTATAATAGGGTTTCTATTTCAAATACCAAGCAAAAACAGTTTTTCTGCAGAATCTTTATCTGACAAATGATTCGCTACCAGCAATGAAATCGTCATATTATAAACACTTGAAAAATTTTGCTTTTAACTAATTGTTAAAGTAAAAATTTTTTTCTGAATTGACGACTATGCTTTTTTAAAATTAAAAATAAGTCACACAGATTTAAAGAAGATATTTGCGTGTGTAATTTATAAGCGTTTAGTAATCTATCTATCGCTTTTCATTATTCTATAATAATTTGGTGTAAGAATAAAACACTATTTTTTTCTGCACCTATTTAAATTTGACCAGAAAGGTGAAAATAGGAAAAAAAGACATTTTAATTTTCTTTCTTATTCCTTGTTCTAGAAAATTATTACTAACAATAATTTAAAGAAAACAGGTTGTTACAAACAACTAAGCAATAAGTAAGATTAAAAACAATGAAATAAACCTTATAAAATCTGAATCTTAAAAAAGCTTCACAAAAGCAGTTTTGTTAAAAAAGTTGTAATGGATTAAATTAAAGCTTTTTTGACAAACACCACATGCGGCGAGATTTTTCAGAGTACAACCTCGTGCTGAAGATTTTGGGTAACTGGAGGCCAGTGGCAACAGCCGCTGCTTATGTGCTGCTTGACCAGAGTTTCAGAATAAAAAAACAGTTAGGAATTGGTAAATAGGCGTAAAACGTCGGCAAAAAAATTTATAATTACAGTCTGCTGTAAACAGCAGTGTTGAGTAATAGGCAGAAGAAGTAAAAAAAAGAAACGAAAAACAATTTTTTAAAAAAGAGAAGGGAACAACTGTTATTTGGTGATTCACCGATGTTGAATCAAACTGAAAAAAAAGGAATGAGGAGTAAGCATTAAACTATAAGAATTATTTTCATAAAAAATTGTTGAAAAAATTCTTTTTTAAGCTGTTTTTTTCTGTTTTAGCTTTCTTCTTTTTCTCTCCGTTTACCGTTAATTCTTGAAATCTTTTTAAAAAATAAAAGACGGTAAATAAAGCGATCAAAAAAAAAAGGGAACTGTATACATACGTACTACGAAGATGGTTAGTAACTAAGCAGAATGCAACAACAGTTAAACCATTTGTATTTGAACGAAATGTAACTGATAACACAATAAATAGTAATCGAGTCGAGAAAGAAGAGAAGATGGTTGTCAGGTGATGCAAAAAAATCATAGATTGACTTACCGTTTAGAACCATTAGTACTTATCAGAAAAAAAGTCATCGAATTTGTTGTTGTGTAGAAGAAAGAGAGTGACGAAAAAGTCGAATAAAATTAGCAAAAAAGAGCCAAATGTTGATAACAATAATGAATGATAAAAGAAAGAGGGAGAAAAGAAAGAGAGAGAAAAGAGAAGAAATGTCAGTTAGTGTGATCATATTGAATTATTATAGTACCCCAAACATTCATCAACCTTCTTGAGCGAATTTATGTGTAATAAACAGTGTACTTTTTTTCTCTCTCTTCTTACTTTTTACTTTTTTTTTTAACTTAACTTTACGCCGAAGAAGAAAAAGATCTATAATTACATATTAATGCTGAATAAAACTGAGTCATCAGCAAGCTGTATTCTGCAGATAAAAAATAATAATTAGAGAATCGAATCGACAAGAAGCATTACAGCCAACGGTCAAAATCGTTTCAGTAGTCGCTACTGAAGTTTTCTGTTGTAGTTTTCACTGTGTCTGTTAAAAAATTTTAAAAAGTTTACGGTTCGAGAATAGGCATCAGCAGAAAGAAAAAAGATGAAAAGAATTGCAGACTTTACTGACAGAACAGTTATGAGAAAAAAAATTGCAATTGAAAGTGAAGAAAGAAGAAACAAAAAAAACTTATTTAGAACAGGTAAGATTAAAAAAACTTTTTTTATTGTTTCTCAGCAAATTGCAGCTTTCTTTTTCATTGTTGATCCAACCAAAGGTATTAATGTGAAAACTTTTCCTGGCTAAATATCGCTTATTAATGTAAGAATAGATAAATAAATTTCAAGCTTAACAGGATAAGATAATTATATGTTTTTAGTTTTTCAAAGCTGGCTTTATAACTATTTTTATTGAACAGCCATAGTTATCTTTTATTGTATTTTTTCTTAAAAGAAAGAGAGCAGAAAAAACAGAAAAAGAAAAAAAGGAGAGAAAAATAAACTGTGCTTAGAATTTAGTTTAGCTAAAAGTCTTACAGCGCCTGTGTTTAAAGCAAATCTGTTTTTTACAGACCAATCTTTTTTTCAATTTGGTCTTTTAAAAATATCATTTTTTCAATTTTACTTTATTTTTACTTTACTAATTTACCAAATTAAAAATCTCTTTCGCACAAGAAGTTTTCCTTTCTTTGAAGTTAATACGGTCAAACAAAAATATATCTGCTCAATTATAAGCACTGAGAAATAAGACAGACAGTACTAGAACGATTACTTTTATTTTTACCGTTATACTTATTCTTCAGTAATGTTTCAAAACTTTTGAGCATCAAGACCAGTTGTATGTGTAAGTTCGGTTGAATCCTAATCGACGACCAGAAACCTATAGTTGTTGACAACTTCAGCATCTGTTGTTCGGTTTCATAGCCGACAATTCTTCACATCACTGTCTTTTTTTTTCTTCTCTGATAGTTGCAAAATTTGCTAAGAGTATTCTGCCGTACTGTTCATTTCCAAATTGTTGCTTTGAGTTCATTCTATGTTTCAGATTTTCAATGCCAACAAGGACCTTCAGCAACATATATCTACTTTATAATCTTAAAAACAACTTCTTAGTCTGCAATTTTTTTGTGAACATTTGTTATACACTTGTTATACACAGTAAAGAAGGACATTCGTAAAATGTTTATTTTTGTTACTCATAAACATGTCGAGATTTTCAAAAGAAAAAAAAAAGAGTAATAATTATTGCAAAGAAGTTTCGAAAGAACAGCAGATGTGTGACAGAACTTTGTGACGTAACTATAAAATTTCTTTTTTTGCAGTTCTCCGAAACATTTGTTGCTACATCATCATAGACCACATCTACAACTTCTGTTTCAGACACCCATTCTGATTGCAGTTTTGTCAGCTCGAACAGTTTGTCTAAACTATTACTGCTGCTTGATAAAGTTGAAGAATCCGATACAACGAAGATCAAAGAACGGTAGCCTATTGTTCCACTGACCAGCAACATTTTTCGTAAAGCAAACTTTTACTTAACCCGCACCTACAGAATTTTTTTGTTCTTACATACAGCGAACTGTTTACAGCAATGAGTAATTCAAAAAATAATTTATTTTAAAGTTTATTTATAATTAGCAGTAGGCACTACCTCTTTTTTCTGTATGCTTCTCGGCTCTCCAATTTCACTCACTCAGTTCATCAGATATACTTTTTAAGCAGTCAAAATTAAATATTCAAAAACTTCAAACTGTTCTGACATTTTGCAACAAAATTAACAAAGAATTAGTATTGCTCGTCATCTGAAAATTTTTTTTATCTTAAGTTGACTGGCTGTTCTCAAATATCTGACTGTTGTAGCAATTCAAAAATCAAATAATTCCTACAAATCGATTAGTCAAAGTTTTGTCAATTACTTGCAAATTTTTGTCATAGAAACTCGCAAAATATATTCTTCCGAAACAAAAAAAGCACCAAAATTTCTTTTGTTTACTGCAAAAAAAACTTCAAAATTATAGAGAAGAAAAGAGGAAAACAGTTTAAATAGAGTAAATAACAAGATTTTTCAAAAATGTTAAATAAATTTCGAAAAAAAAAATTATAAGGAAAAAAAGGGTGAATTAATAACCGAGAAAAGTACCAAAACAGCACATATAGTTTCTGAAAACGTCCGAGAGACAATGTCGAAAAAGTTCCAAAGGCGCAAGTCATTGTCATTCAATTTTTTTTTCAATATTCGAGTTAGATTTGCAGTTTATAGATTTTTTTTAAAACTTTTTTAAAACAGACAATTTTTTACGTCTTTTTTTTTTTTTTGACGAATTAATTGATTAGACAAAAAAAGTACGATCAACTGTTTTTTTTTTTTTTATTAGCTTTTGAGAAAATAAAAAAAATTGCTTACGAAACTACAAAAATCATATGGTTTAAGAGCTGTAACCGTACAGTTGTTCACAGTT